GATAGTGAGGATGTGTGATGGGGTGATAGTGAGGATGTGTGATGGGGTGATAGTGAAGATGTGTGATGGGGTGATAGTGAAGATGAGGGGTAATAGTGAAGATGTGTGATAGGGTGATAGTGAAGATGTGTGATAGGGTGATAGTGAAGATGTGTGATAGGGTGATAGTGAAGATGTGTGATGGGTGATAGTGAAGATGTGATGGGTGAGTGAGGATGATGGGGTGGATAGTGAAGATGTGATAGGGGCAGATAGTGAAGATGTGTGATGGGGTGATAGTGAAGATGAGGGGTAATAGTGAAGATGTGATAGGGTGATAGTGAAGATGTGTGATAGGGTGATAGTGAAGATGTGTTGGGGTGATAGTGAAGATGTGAGGGGTAATAGTGAAGATGTGTTGGGGTGATAGTGAAGATAAGATGGGGGTGATAGTGAAGATGTGTGTGATAAGATATGAAGATGTGTGATGGGGTGATAGTGAAGATGTGTTGGGGTGATAGTGAAGATGTGTTAAAGATAGTGAAGATATGTGATGGGGTGATAGTGAAGATGTGATTGGGTGATAGTAAGATGTGTGGATTGGGTGATAGTGAAGATGAGTGATGGGGGGTGATAGTGAAGATGAGTGATGGGGTGATAGTGAAGATGTGTGATGGGGGTGATAGTGAAGATGTGTGATGGGTGATAGTGAAGATGTGTGATGGGGTGATAGTGAAGATGAGTGATGGGCAGGATAGGCAAGATGTGTGTTAGGATGATAGTGAAGATGTGTTGGGGTGATAAGAGAAGATGTTGGGGGTGATAGTGAAGATGTGTTGGGGTGATAGTGAAGATGTGTGTGATGGGGGGTGATAGTGAAGATGTGTTGGGGTGATAGTGAAGATGTGTTGTGTGATAGTGAAGATGTGTGATGGGGTAATAGTGAAGATGTGTTGGGGTGATAGTGAAGATATGTGATGGGGGTGATAGTGAAGATGCATGGGTGATAGTGAAGATGTGTTGGGTGATAGTGAAGATGTGTGATGGGGTGATAGAAGATGTGATGAAGATAGTGAAGATGTGTGATGGGGGTGATAGTGAAGGATGTGTTGGGGTGATAGTGAAGATGTGTTGGGGTGATAGTGAAGATGTGTGATGGGGTGATAGTGAAGATGTGTTAGGATGATAGAAGATGCTGGGGGTGATAGTGAAGATGTGTTGGGGTGATAGTGAAGTGATGTGTTGGGGTGATAGTGATAAGATGTGTGATGGGGTGATAGTGAAGATGTGTGATGGGGTGATAGTGAAGAGGGGTGATGGGGTGATAGTGAAGATGTGTGTTAGGATGATAGTGAAGATGTGTTGGGTGAGCGGAAGATGAGAGATTAATGGTGGCCCCTAATGTGTTGCGGGGGATGGCCGGCCCTGGTGGGCCACCTATGCGTGAATTTGTTAAAGGTGAAGCTGTCGCCAACACAACAACCACACCCTGCTAACGAGTTGCATGACCCGGTGTCAAGGCATAGTCCGGAGAAGACCGACAACTCGCCAACCGCACTGGCTAACCATTACCCCGGAACACGATCCGTAAATCGATTGCCAATAGAGGTTCCCAATTACTGCTAGGGCAGACAGAGGCAAATGGCGCAAAGAAATCCTGCTCTTACAGTTTCACCCCTGCCCGCATCGAACCCAGGTCAGTCGCTTGCGAGGATGCTAACCATTACAATTGCTGCGGTCGCCACGTAAGGACACAAAACAGACAAACAGACAGACAGACACAACGCCATTAACCATGGCATCAACCTCACACATCTTCACGTTTACAAACAATGCGTAAATGGAAGAATTGGGAGACACACGAAGGGTAATTACCGTTATATAGGTCAACACTCTTGTTTGTGTTACGCTGTTTGATCATGCTTAAAGTATGACCCTCCTGCCCCCCCACACTTCTCCATAAACTTTATTACCGTACTTTTGGTAAAAACAGTGATGATATTAAAGGTTTCAATATTGATAATAAATATAACATGCCGGTATATAATAATAATAATAATAATAATAATAATAAAATACTATTAATAATAACATATACTAATAACACTACAACTACTAAAAATAATACCGTATTCGTAACTCATCCCAACTAAATCTAGTCAAACCAATCTAATTCATCCCTAACTTAAACTAACGTAATATAATCCAACCTTACTTTTACGTCTCTTAATAAATTTTTTTTCGCTTAATTTAATCAAAACACAACCAAACCAAACCTATTCTAAGCGTTTGTTACTTTAACTCCAACCAAACCTAATCTACCTGCATTTAATCCGAATCTAACCTTACACTCAAATCTAACTTAGTGTTAGGCTAGGGTTGAGTTGGGCAGGGTTTGATTTAGGCGAGGCTACGATCGGTTAATTTTGGTTGTATGGTTAGGTTAGGTTTTCACATTGTATCGCTAAGCCAGACTTCGGTTGTTTTTTGGCGGTTGTGTTGAAATACATTTGGTTGCTATATTTACATTGATTGCTGATTAGCTGCGTTGGTTAGATTTCTGGTCAAATGCATTATTAGGTAAGGATGACTTTAGGTTAGGCAATAATAGGGATGACTATGTTAGGTCAGACATAGGCTAAGGTGTTTCTGGCTAATTAACTAACCTAGTGTATGTATCGTGAGCACCTGAGGAGGTAAACAGGAACATAAGAACCGCCTGACGCTACTGTTGCTTCGGCCTAGTGTGTGTACTGTGTGAGTGTATACTGTGTGTGTGTGTATACTGTGTGTGTGTGTGTGTGTGTAAAAGTATACTGTGTGTGTGTGCATACTGTGTGTGTGTGTATACTGTGTGTGTGTGTATACTGTGTGTGTGTGTGTATACTGTGTGTGTGGTGTGTGTGTGTGTGTGTATACTGTGTGTGTGTGTGTATACTGTGTGTGTGTGTGTGTGTGTGTATACTGTGTGTTTTTAACAGCATACCAAAATACGTATAAAACCGCCATACGTTTTAGCTCTTAGTCTACAAAATTAATAACCATAATAATGTAAACAACAACAATAATACTAAAAACAAAAACACTACTAACAGCAAACAAAAACAATAGTTCAAATAAAAGTAACACCCCCATAAAAATAAATAAACAAAAGCTTGCGTCAATATCACCCTTAATCTGGTCAAATACACAGGACTGAGTGGAGAGTCACGCAGCGCCATCAGTGTATGATATTTTCACTCCTTTCACACTAATTCTTGCCGTAAATGTTATTATGATTTCACTTTCTTTTCTCTTCCACACAGTACAGACACACACACACACACACACACACACCTTAACCCCCTGAGTACTATAACTTAACCTCTTGAGTACTACGACTTTAACCCCTTAGGTGCTATGAGTATCTTTAGTACCATAAATTAACCCCAAGGTATAATACTGTTACATAAGAAGAACATAAGAACATAAGAAAATAAGGAGTCTGCAATAGACCGGTTGGCCTGTGCATGGCAGCTCCTGTCGAGAGTTACTACCACTCTCTATCATCCATGAATCTATCCAGTCTCCTTTTGAAACTTTCCAGAGTTCCCGCACTTACTACAACGCTGCTAAGCTTGTTCCACTCGTCCACCACCCTATTTGTGAACCAGTTCCTTCCTATCTCCCTCCTAAACCTAAATTTATCCAACTTGAATCCATTGTTCCGAGTCCTATCCTGCTCGGATATTATAAGAACTTTATCTATATCCCCTTTATTGATTCCTTTCACCCACTTAAATACTTCTATCATATCTCCCCGCACTCTTCGTCTTTCTAGGGAATGCAAGTTAAGTTTTTTTAACCTATCCTGATATGGAAGGTTTCTAAGTCCTGGAATCATTTTTGTCATTCTTCGCTGCACCGACTCTAGTGAATTTATATCCATTCTATAATAAGGGCACCAGAACTGAACCACATAATCGGGGTGCGGCCTGACTAGCGCAAGACATAGTTGCAATAAGACCTCTGCACTCTTATTACTTACACTTCTAGATATAAAACCCAATACTCTGTTTGCCTTATTTCGAACATTAACGCACTGTTTTTTAGGCCGTAGGTCCGGGCTTACAAGTACCCCTAGGTCTCTTTCACAAGTCGACTTCTCTAGGTTGATGTTGTTAAGGCTGTATACATTATCAGTATTTATTCTTCCAATATTAAGTACACTGCACTTGCTGGTGTTGAATTTCATTTGCCATTTTTCAGACCACCCCTGCAGTTTATTTACATCCTCCTGTAATGCCTTTGCATCCTGCCCAGAGTTAATCTGCCGCCCTATTTTGGTGTCATCCGCAAACTTGCTTATGTCACTGCTGATCCCAGTATCTAGATCGTTTATGTAGATTATGAACATGAGTGGGCCTAGTACTGACCCTGGGGAACCCCACTGGTTACACGGCCCCACTCAGATTTAACACCATCTACCTGTGATGCTAATTAATTATTGTCTCACCTGAAGCCAACAAACTAACTGCATTCTTGTATATCTTTTATGGGAAAAATAACTCTTGCCGACCCAGCCACATGTTCAATGGTGGTAGTAGTGATGGTGGTAGTGGAGGGTGCTGGTGACTAATGCTCATGGTATGGTGGTGGTTGCTGTTGAGAGTTGTGGTGGTGGTGGTGATTGATGTTGATGATAATGGTGGTGGCTGTGATTGTTGTTGATGATAATGGTGGTGGCTGTGATTGTTGTTGATGATAATGTTAGTGGTTGTGATTGTTATGATCCCACACACCTGTCACTTACAACACACCTGTTATTTACAACAGAGCACTACACACCTGTCATTTACAACACACCACTACACACCTGTCACTTACAACACACCTGTCACTAAATAAAACAGGGTAATGCACATAACAGGAATACAGAGCTACATAGTTGGAATACTTTGTGTGTCCGTCACTAGATAAATGTAAAATCCATTATTGACACAAGAAATATTTCCCCCAGCAGCCACGAGTACCTTACTGACCTGTCATGTTAGCGGCGACTGTGGGTCTGTCCATCATAGGTGGTGGAAATAGGGAGTATTCCAGTTCTCGTGAGCGCCCGGGGCTACGGTGAGCGCGTAATACATCCACGACGCTGGAGAGGTATGTGTGTGTCTGTCTGTCTGAGCAGCAGTATTGGCGAGCAGCTGAGGAAGTGATGACACTGGCAGGCGGGTTGGGTTGCTACTACCACGAGCTGCTGCTTCTCACACGCCCTCTGTCAGTGTCTGGTTGGCCGCCACCCACAACAACACTGCCCTCCTCCAACACCCTGGTGGTGGGGGGGACACACGACACCCTAGACGGGCACACGGGTCCTGGGAGAGTGAGACGGCCCCCTTGGAGAGCACAGGGCTACTGGGACAACACCAGAGTGGGTGGGGTGACACACGGTGGTAGGAATGACAGTGAGGGATGGTATTAGGAGGTGGGGGTGACGGGGAGGCAGCAGTAGCGAGGCGGACGAGGGGGGAGGGGGGGCTGACTGGTGTGGTCAACAGTGAGGGCGGCCAGGGAACACGAGGACGAAGAGACAGCTGGGTAGTCACACAGTGAAGGTCGTGCACCACCTGTCAGACACCACTACTGCACCAGCTGGCGTAGACCACCAACATGACACACCAGTACCACACTTAACGAAGCAACACACACTACGAAGACCACCCCTATCCCACACCAGTCAAGGCGACACTGATCCTCTTCTGGCATGTGGGGGAACCGCGCCGCCTCAGGGAACATGCGCGCGCACCCCTGTCTACCTCGCCCCCCACCACACACACCCTCCCAGCCTTCCTACCCCAACAATAACTTTCTCACTTGAACTTAAAACAAATATTTTCTCTCTAACATGGAACAACAGGCGAGACAGTGAAGTTTATGAACATGGTCTAGCAACTGTTAGCACCGACCACCACCACCACTGCCCTCACCACCACCTTTGTTCAGCAACTGGGTGGGGCAGCTGGAGGGGCGGAGGAAGAGGGGGGGGGGAGATGGGGGTAGCCTAATGGGAAGGAGAGAGAGGGAGGGAGGAGGAGAGGAAAGAGGGAGGGGATAAGTCATGGTAGTGTCGTCCACCCCACCACCCATCCCCACTGCCCCCCCTTCCCACAACACCGCCCTCCCTCAGCCTTCCCCAAACCACTCGACAAGCACCAAACCACTCGACAAGCACCACTACTACCACCACTGTCAGGTCCCCTACCAGTACTACCACTATTGTCAAACACACGGATCACTACCATTACAACACCTCACCCATCAACTGTCATCACCATCCTCACCCACCAGCTGTCATCACCATCCCCACACACCAGCTGTAATCGCCATCCTCACCCACCAACTGTCATCACCATCATCATCCACCAGCTGTCATCACTATCCTCACCCACCAGCTGTCATCACTATCCTCACCCACCAGCTGTCATCACCATCCTCATCCACCGACTGTCATCACCATCCTCACCCACCAGCTGTCATTACCATCCTCATCCACCAGCTGTCATCACCATCCTCATCCACAAGCTGTCAAAAACACCAGCTATCACCAGTTATCAGTCATCACCTGTCAACACCAGTCATCACCATCAGCAGCTGTCAGTAGCACAGAAGAGTCAAGAGAATGCTAAAAGGGCCATGATAACAGCTGTCCCCTTCCCTCCTAGACGTGGCCATTACCCTGTTTCTAACTGGCCAAGATAACGATGTATGGCCCAAGATGACGCACACTGATCTCACGATAACACCACTTGACTCGAAGATAACCAGGAGACGAGAGAGACGAACATACATACATACGTCACCATCACATAACAGTGTGTGTCAGTAATGGTGGGGTCTCTCTCTCTCTCTCTCTCTCTCTCTCTCTCTCTCTCTCTCTCTCTCTCTCTCTCTCTCTCTCTATTCATTCGTTAACTCAGTGATGTTGGTGAGTACCTCTTTTTACACACACACACACACATTCATTTATTGACTCGCATCGATGCCTAAGAGTTATTTGGTTTTTATTCATAGCTCTCTCTCTCTCTCTCTCTCTCACGCACACACTCTTGGTCACTGCGTTAAACAAAGGCATTAAAAGAGTAACAATGAATATTTGGGATCACCTGAGGATTAAGCACCTTATCGCTAATTTAATTTAACCTAACCACCCCCCCACCCACACACACAGCCAGGTAAGCATTAGGGTACTTAATCTGCAGGTGATATAAGCTAGGTGTGTGTGTCCGAGTCTTCAGGTGATCCAGTATTACCTTCATAGTACAGTAGTTAATCAAAATACACCTGGTGGACTTGACTGCTATATAACTTTTAAACTTGTTTCTGGGGCAACATACATCATTAACTCAGCCTCGACCCTTTCCTCGTGGCACCCCAGCCCAGCCCAGCACCGGGGAAATATAACCCTATATTAATATGGTGCATACAGTGCTATATTAAGAACTGCTGTAGTGCTGATAAAATATAAATACAAAGAAGTTGATTTCAGGGTTTTTAAAATGGTCCGACTCTTAGAGGTCTTATCATACATCAAAACACACTACCTTCCTCACCCCCACTACCTCAGTGATTGGTCGAGCTGTAATCTAATCATTAAAGGCATCATCAGGCTTACCGTGTCGACCAAACTCTGGGAATCTGGTTCAAAATCTCAGTACAGTACAGTATAGGTCCTCCTGAGTATGCTGGTTCTGAATCTATAGTCCACGATTCAATTGCCGCGGGGTAATTAGTGGTCATGATGACACTTGGAAGATTTCAATGTCATTTCAAAGCTAATTATTCGTCAACTATGGGTTTCCGAGGTGTAATTTTGGTGTTTTTTCTGGATGTGTATTTCGGTGTAAATATTCTTAAAGACACGTGGACCAATACTAATGGTTAGATGAGGTTGTGTGGGTGTCCATTTGACCTGAAACATTGACCAACAGGTGGCTAATGCTGGGAGACCAAGATACTCTAGATACAGACAGGTAGAACCAATTCAGAGCTATACACAGACAGGTAGAACTAAATTAGGCTACACACACGACAGGTATAACCAATTAAGGGCTACACACACGACAGGTATAACCAATTAAGGGCTACACACACGACAGGTATAACCAATTAAGGGCTACACACACGACAGGTATAACCAATTAAGGGCTACACACACGACAGGTATAACCAATTAAGGGCTACACACACGACAGGTATAACCAATTAAGGGCTACACACACGACAGGTATAACCAATTAAAGGCTACACACACGACAGGTATAACCAATTAAGGGCTACACACACGACAGGTATAACCAATTAAAGGCTACACACGAAGAAAGGTAGAAACACCTTACAAAGAACCACACATAAATTATAATCACCTTCAGGACCTGAGTGATACTGGTGGTGATGGCTGTACAGTCTCGACTCCTGGCACCATCACAGTCAGAAACCTCCACTAACACACACACACACACAGTGCAGTAACGTACGTACCTGTGAGAGAAAGAGGTAGAAATATGATCAACACGACAAACTGACACAGATAAAAGGCAATTCATATTCCCTGATGTATATGAGATTAATAACATGGCATACTTAAACAGGGCATAGTTTAACATGGCATAGTTCGACCTGGCATAGTTTGATGCTTGTCAGTGACTTCAAACACGACAAAGGATGACAGCTGGAAGGCAACAGAGGAGGTATTCATCAAAGTAACTAATGAAATGCTGTAAAGTAACTCCCTAGTGCTCAATATATATACAGTATATATATATACAGTATATATATATATATATATATATATATATATATATATATATATATATATATATATATATATATATATATATATATATATATATATATATATATATATATAGGGCAACACACCTCCCTAACTCAACAATAATAATAATAATAATAATAATAATAATAATAATAATAATGACACTAATCATAATAATAATAATAGTAATAATAACAACAACAATAATAATAATAATAAAACTAATAATAAACAACAGTCTTTCTTTCTTAATGCTGTCACCCAAGACATAAGTTTGTTTATCATGAGAAAGGAAGGTGCCATGACCCCTAAATGACATTTGTCTACACTGTACCATGACACAACAAGATTCAAGATGCCCCGGAGGAGGCTAGTTTATTGGGCACCCCGTTACATCATGTCACGCCATATTAGGTTAGGTCAGCTTATGTTAGGCCAGTTCAGGTCAGGTCACGCGTCAGATTGGGTGAAGTGAGATCAGGTTAGGCTAAAGATTTGTCGCCATGCAATAATAAAAGAAACAAACAATGTAATAAATAAATAAACAAACAAACAAACAACTCTAATGGTGGCTATAACTGCATAAGACAAACAAACATAAAAAGAAACAAACAAATACACAGAAACATGTCAACACAGACAAACACAGTGTACGGATCACCTGAAGAATCGTCACCCCAGAGTTTGGCAAGGTGACCATTCTTCATGTGAGGTCAGGATCCTCCATGGTGGTTACTCTTCAGGTGAGGTCAGGTCGAAGGTCAAAAGGGAGAGGTTAGGTCAGGTAGAAGGTCAAAAGGGAGAGGTTAGATCAGGTAGAAGGTCAAAAGGGAGAGGTTAGATCAGGTAGAAGGTCAAAAGGGAGAGGTTAGGTCAGGTAGAAGGTCAAAAGGGTGAGGTTAGGTCAGGTAGGTCAAAAGGGTGAGGTTAGGTCAGGTAGAAGGTCAAAAGGGTGAGGTTAGGTCAGGTAGGTCAAAAGGGTGAGATTAGGTCAGGTAGGTCAAAAGGGTTAGGTTAGGTCAGGTAGAAGGTCAAAAGGGTGAGGTTAGGTCAGGTAGGTCAAAAGGGTGAGGTTAGGTCAGGTAGAAAAAAGGGTAGGTTAGGTCAGGTAGGTCAAAGAGGTTAAGTCAGGTAGGTCAAAAGGGTGAGGTTAGGTCAGGTAGGTCAAAAGGGTGAGGATAGGTCAGGTAGGTCAAGGAGGTCAGGTAGAAGGTCAAAAGGGGTGAGGTTAGGTCAGGTAGGTCAAAGGGTGAGGTTAGGGTCAGGTAGAAGGTCAAAAGGGTGAGGTTAGGTCAGGTAGGTCAAAAGGGTGAGATTAGGTCAGGTAGGTCAAAAGGGTTAGGTTAGGTCAGGTAGAAGGTCAAAAGGGTGAGGTTAGGTTAGGTCAGGTAGGTCAAAAGGGTGAGGTTAGGTCAGGTAGGTCAAAAGGGTGAGGTTAGGTCAGGTAGGTCAAAAGGGTGAGGTTAGGTCAGGTAGTAGGTCAAAAGGGTGAGGTTAGGTTAGACTTGTATTTTCTGTAGACCTTTTTAATAAAGATACATAACACAAAGGAATTTATATTTTGGCATTTTTCTTCCCTTAATTATACAGTTTATATTCATTATGGGCTGGAGTGACGATTCTTCAGGTGATCCCACTGTGCAAATATATCAACACAAATACACATACACAGGTACAAGCATATACAAACACAGGTACAAACACACAGGTACAAACATACATACAAGCATATACAAACACACTGTACAAACACACACTGTACACGTTTGTATCTGAACAACTGAGGCAACTTAATAACAAATAAAAAAAATCAAGAAAAATATAAAAGTTCAGACATAAAAAAAAGCAGCTGACAACCTATTTTTTTTCTTCTATCCTTAACACAAATAAATTTTAAGTTCAGTGAAGTGTGCGAAAGTT